AAGGAGTGACGCGCTTAGGGTCACGTGGGAACATGGAACTCTTCCTGATATTATGAAGGTCCAGGTACAACATGACCACTCGCTCCAGACCTGGGAGGGGAGAGACGGGGAAAAAAGTTAAGTAAAGGATCCCAAGCGATATAAGTTACAAGGGAGGAGACGGGAGGGAACTACGCAGCGAATGGGGGAATGGGAATGGGAATGGGCGAAAACCCAACCAATCCCGAACGCACGAAGGATGTACGAACGCTTCCGACCATTTACCGAAATATCTCAAGATGGCCAAGGCCTTAAAACTTCTTTCGATCGACACACACTCCTTGTAGGCTGATAAGACGACAACGATATTTGCTCTGACGAAGAGCTAGCACTTGAAAAGTGCGCCTGAGTAGCTGGCGCCGTTTTTTTTACAGCTAAGAAGAGATCTCGAGGACAAGTCAGCTTTTCAATCTTTTTACACTATGTCGATAAAACCAAATTTTTGTGTTTCACTCTCGGCCACAGTTTCTTTAGAAACCAACCCTTTCTACCCGGCGAGCAGAGGTTTTTCTCTTGCATGGCTTTTAGTGTTTACGAAGTCGTTCAAGTGGCTTGCCTGTCGCGTAGTTGGTTTGTTTACGCCAAAGCCATGCAAGAGAGAAACCTGTTCTCGCAGGGTAACCACTTTATTCATTTTAAGGAGTTGTGTGACGAAATTTTATAATAATTCATACAGTAAAAACTGCCACCAAATTGAGTAAAATATAAAAATAAACGTTTAAACGTTAAATGGGAAGGTAAAAGTAACACAGCAAACACAAAAGAAAGCACGGACGGACAAAATTGAAGAAGACTAAAACGGATCGGAATTGCGGTTTTTAAAACTTGTTAGCCTAAATATTTTTCAAAGTTTTTTGTTTGAAACGTTTGAAATAATGCTAGAAAGACGTTTGTAAGACACGAAACTGATTTTCTGTTTTGGCCGCGCGAAAAATTGGATGGAACGAGAGCCAACCTTTCTCTCCCCCCCACCCCCCTTCCCCGCTCTTTCACTTGCACCATTTTTCGCGCCGTCTTTGACTCTCGTTCCCCGTTCTTTGATCCGAAACCGCACGGGAACGATTGCTAAGCAGGCTAAAGGACGCTTAATTAGCGCTCAAGGTCCTACCGGGTTTTAAGGTACAGGATGCTTTACAAGTCAGATAATTATTGTGTACAGGTTATGTGAATATTTAACTAGAATACGGCCAAGATGCATGAACAACTAGAAAAGAAGAAAAAACTCACCTATTCCGCCTCCGCCATGGGGTGGAGCTCCATAACGGAAGGAGTCAATGTAAGCTTTGATCTTCTCAATATCTGAATATATGAATAGAGAATGAATAAGTTTAATAAGCGATATCTCTATCGCAAAATGATAAAACTTGAGGCATTTGAAAACTTGTTACGTCACTACGACATTTTCGCCAAAAACCCGTAGTAACCCGATGACGACGACTGTCGCGTTTTCCCGCCAAAATGATGCTGGTAACTATCCAACAAATGCACATGTTACAACTTCTACATTTCAGTGCTGTATAGTGTTGTGTTGTGTTCTTTTTCTTTTGTACTCTTCTTTTTTTAAGTGCAATTAAAACAAAAAACAAAAAAAATGACGCTAGTTCACAAGCGAACTACATAGTAAGAAAATCTCTTCCTCGTCTCTAAAGGTAGACTACTTAGGGCTAGCAAACTCTCCATTTATGGCGAGCGAAGAGAACGGGAGAGGACAATGTCGCGTCTCCTTTCACGTGCTGCTCTCGCGTGACTGCTCGCGACTCTCCCAAATGGAGAGCTTGCTCGCAGGCTACTCTAAAGGTCTCTAACTACACGTCGCATTCATGGTCCCTGGACATGAGCTGCTTTTTTTCTTTCCCATAATTTAAATTTGTGACTTAAGTTGATGTAGTGATAAATAAAAAGAGACGGTAAAATTTAAAGCGCATTTGTGGATGGTCAGGAAGCAATAATCATAAGCATGTGAGAGTGAAAGAACATCAACAAACCTTCAACAACAAAATATCCAGGGGCGAATAGGTTAAAAAAAAAATAATGCAACAAGGAACCTTACCTATTTCATGGAGTTTAGCCCTCTCCGTCAGTAGGGTGGGGTCGTGTACTCGCTGAGCTCCTGACAACACTTCCTCTCCTCTCATGAACATGTCATAAGAATTGCTCCATTCCTTGAAAGGGAGAATACAAAATGTAATGTGAATGATGTGGAATCTCTTTCAACACTTAAGCTTTCACAAACTCGAAAGTGACTCTGGTTGTCCATTTATAAAATCAAGATCTAAAACGTCTATGACTCTTATTCAACCGACGGGAAAGAGCTAATTTTTAAATCCTTGGTGTGATCAACTGATTTTCTCTACGGCCGCCTCAACGGTCTTTCTCAAGTCTTAGTTGGGAGCACGGACTTTTAAAGCGGGATACTGGAGACAAGCGAAAAGCGAGAGAGGGGGATGATGGGAACGAGGGCGGAACGCGAGCGGGGAGTTTCTCCCCCTTCCCATCACTCCTTCCACCCCCCCTTTCCTTAATCATTAACTCAAATATTTTCCCCCCCCCCTAAAAAAAAAAGACAGTGTTTGCTAGCGAATGGGGACAAGGCAATATCTTCTAAACAGATATCTTTATAGGCTGTGGCTGTACCAAGGGAGCCATATCTGATCAGCTGCTTCTGGCCAAAATTTCACACGTCCTTCTGTAACTTAGCTCTCCACATTAACCGCAAATGTTGCACAGACAGTGGGTCGGTGCTGTATTCAATAGACCAACCTGGAATTTCGATATATTAAAATTCATACTTGGCTCCGAGGCTTAGGGGAATAAAGGACGGACCATAACTTTTTGACGGGGCGGGGGGTTGGAAAATTTTCACATGCGAACATTTTTTATCATCACCATCATCATCTTTACTTATACACGGTTACAAACATCAGGTATTATCAAAAAAATAAATAATACATATGCGGCTCCTACGTGCTTCAAACGATGTTTCTTGTGAGTCTCCGTCTTCCTGCAAACACTTTTTTTTACTTGCATACAATTTATTTCAGTGTTGGCAGCCTCTGCAAACAATTTATTTCAAAATTTTCCAAACCCCGCCCCCTTCAAAAAATAATGGTCTGTCCCTAAAACAAAAGAAATCTTCTTGAGGCTCAAAAATGAATAATACATTACTTCTGTTTTATTCCCTAAACCTCGTAGCCAGGTTTGAATTTTAATATTTCGAAATTGGTCTTTTGCCGATGGGGCTCCTCTTCCAGAAAACTGTTTTGGGGTTTTGGGTCGCTATCGCTTTAAATAGACCTTATTCACAATACCCAGACGTGCTTTAGGATCGATGGGATAAAAGCAAATGTCACGTGGTATCTCAGGGGGCAAACAAATGATAAACTTTGCCACATACGAATGATAGCGGTCGAGTCTACAGTTCGAGTATCAACAAGTTTTTCGTTATTATTGCTTGGTGCGAGGAAATTCACGGTCGCTAACTGCATCCAAAAAAGTAGCAATGACCACTTTCACCCATAATTTGCCAGAATCGTTTTTTACTCATAATCTTTTCTCACTTTCTGTTGTCTAGAATAAACCAACTCGACCACGATTTTTTGCACTGAGAAAACCGCGTGCAAAGAAGGTGAGTATCGTGAATAAGTTCTATTGACTATTGCGAGGTTACGCAGAAAACTGGGCAAAACATTCCCATAGTGCAATTCGAAAAAACACCGACCCAGTCCCAGGCACAAACAAAATTGGCCAGTAGCGGACACCATTCTTTTGCCGACAGCTTATTTTGCGGGGGAAGGAAAGAGAGTTAACTGTTGCTTATGTTGTTTTTCAGTACTTACAGGGTTATGTGGGTCAGGCATGGTGTAGAATGGTCGAACACACAGCGGATATTTATCCAGAATGAAGAAGTCTGTGTCATACTTCTGTTTGACAAGTTTGCCCAACAGCTTTTCATTTGGAGTGCTAAAGGGGAAAGATGTAGATATCGGTTTGTCACTTGTACACAACAAGTAAAGACAATCCATCATATACAAAAAGCCTACAACTATTTTTAAATGATTTTTGACATTACGAAGTAACTGAACTAAGTGCAAGTTACAGGATAGAGGATACCGTAAAATTCCGAAAATAAGCCCGGGGCTTATATTTTTCAAAGGCCCTTTTTGAGGGGCTTATCTACGGAGGGAAATTTGCGTTTCAAAATTGATTGGGCAAGCGGCTAGCCCTATGGTTGGAGGAAATTTACCGTTTTTGCTTTTTTTTACTTTGTACTTGAGGGCAATTTCCAAGTACAAGTCCTCGGGGGCTTATATTTGGAGGGGCCATTTAACGGAGGGTTTTTTTGCGTTACGAGAGTTTGGGGACTTATTTTTGGAGGGGCTTATACATGGAGGGGCTTACTTTCGGAATTTTACGGTATTAACTGAAATGTGAACCCTAAACTTATTTCCAACGACAATCGCTTTTTAATTGCACTGGTGAAAGAGGACAATGCTATCAGCATGTGCCGTATTAATTTAAGCGGGGCACTCTTGGCTTCATCCGAATCATTTAAGGCCTAAACGTCCCACGTCCACGAAGCATCAAATAAATAACGATTATTTACCGAAGTGGCGGTGAATAGTACTTGGATAATCACCGCCCAGCTAGCCATATCATCGCGCGCGAAGGGGTAGGGCATATACTAATGGGTTTCATCCTCTAAAAAGGAAACACAATCATGCACATCGTTCTTAAAGGTGATATTCCTTTTCCCTCGTCCTCTGTCATTGTCAAGATGTCCTAGACTTCGAGCAGTTCTGCTACTCTCCTCAAGGATTTTAGAGAGAGCAAAATACGCGAATACAACTACAAATGTAGCTTCCCACGTAGACGTGGAATGCGTGAAAAAGCCTAAAAACGTCGGACCATTATACGTTTCTGGGAAACTGCCCACCTACCCCTCCCCTAAGCCAATATTTTCCCCTAAGTGAGAAGTGTTAATGTTGGCTTAGGGGAGGGGTAGGTGAGCTGTTTCCCAGAAACGTTGGATCCAAAACGTCTACCTGAGAGGTTACTGGAAATGGTCACCCGTGAGAATGGCGTGGACAGCAATTTTCACATGCCTCACTATTTCGCTTGCTCTACTACGGAAAGTGAGGGACTACTCAGTAGTCTACAGATGTACCCCATGGCTGTTTTACCTGAGATCTTCGTCATAATTCATTTCAACACCAGCCTCCCTCAACATGTCAACTCCTTCACGGTAAGTAAGTACCAAGCTAAAAAAATAATTAAAAAAAATGAAAAAAAAAACAAACAAAAAAACTAAGGGCCTTAGCAACAACTATAACCTTGTGCTTACTGATATGAGGATACCTCAGGGTGACCACGAAGATTTCAAGTTACTGGGTATAAGCAATACTAGTAGGCAGGATTTTGGACACCTGGGAAGTTCTATTGATTGTATTTATCCGTTTTTTCTATGAAAGAAGCTGGGGGTTATACTCATAGTAGCTGTGGAAAATCCACGGCCCCGGGGCAGCTCAGCATTGTACCTCATATGATGACAGTACAACTTTAATGACCAACACATTTTACTATGGCTGAGGATGATTATCAAATGGCTCACGCTGTTGTTGATTTGGAATGTGTCCTGTTGATTTTTTCTTGCTGTATATATGCGTTATTGACCAAGCGTGAGGTCAAGAAGGCCGGATATTGGCCAAGTTCCTTTTTGCCTTTTTTGGACTCCAAGATAAAGTTGAGGTCAATGAAAACTCCACAAAGAATCCAGCTATCTTGACCGAACAAGCTTGGTCAATAAAGGATTATTTTATTATATGGCCAAAAAGAGAACTTTTTCTTGCGGGACTGACATGGGAAATCCTGAGCGGCCACGATGGGCTTATTTTGCCAGCTCAGGTAGCCAATCAGAACACAGGATTTGCTTCTTCTTGCCTACTTGCGGATTCAATCATATAATGCGGCAGTGAGGCGTTGTCAACCAGCTATTAGGGATCTTTAGTTTCTAGAACGAGAACGATTACGAGTACGAAATTTAACTTAAAGTTTTTTGGCGTATTCTCAAATAATAGACACCCCGGATAGCTTCATTGTACATCTTTTTCACCAAAAAAATTACAATTTAATATATAGATTTAGCCAGGGCTAAAAGCGAAGCTCTCGATAATATTTATAGTTTGCTCAACAAAATATAAAATCGTGTTATGCTAAGCGGCGAAGACAACGAGAACGGTGAAAAAACAACAATAAGTCTAATTAGCAAAAAAACAACTTTGCACGTGCAGCACACTTTTTTCGTACATTTCTTTGCCGTTGTTTTGCACGACCACAACGTGAAACTTCCAGAAACTTCCTAGTTACACGTCTTATGGAGGAAATGTCGTACCTGTTGTTGCTCACTTTTTTTCACTCGCTCATTTTCACCTTGGTGGCCGCTAGGATTTCTCATTTTCTTACCGCCGCTAAAACATTTTGATGTTGTTCTTCCAACAAATAGCTCTGTATCTTCCGCTCTAACTCTCTGTCGCTCTTTTTCTCGTTGAGCTTCGCTGGCCTTTCGCCCATTTTATTTTTTCTCTATATTCCAAATTTGTGGACATGACAATTAATCTAAGCTTAATGAAGCTTAATACTTTAGACAACACGGATACAGAAACAATTTCCTCCTCCCGTTTTCGTCTTTATTGACTCTTTAGTCGTCTCTGCTTCACAAGACGCGGGTGGCAATGCGATTTCCCGCCAAAATAACCTCGAGTTGCATTTGGGTTGCCATACGTGCTGGTTGAGTTATTTTACATTGGTATGCCTGTGGTGCGGACGGACGGTCGGTCGGGCGCATGGTCACGTGATTACCAAAATTTCACGGATGGTTAGATTACCTCGTCTTAGAATCTAAAGGTCTCCATTACAAAGCAACAAGGAAGCGTATTATTCAACTTTCATTCAGGAAAATTCTAACGATCCTAAGCGTCTTTTCAAGTCTGTGAATATGCTTTTGCGCAGGAACTCTGAAGGTTGCTATATCCAAAGGCCAGTAATGATGCTGAACTTGCTAAAGCGTTTGCTGACTTTTTTGCGCTCAAGAATAAAAGCATCCGCGGGGAAATCGCGCGTGGCTGGTCTGTCGATGGAATGACAACAACCACGTTTGCTGTTAATTGTTTGACTTCGGATTCAGAATTCAAAATTTTTAAACCGCTAACATTTAAAGAAGTTACTCGGTTAATCAAGTCTGGGTCAATCAAGTCGTGTTCAGTTGACCCTCTACCAGCATCCATCACGGCCAGGTCTGGTGTTATCCTACCTAAGTACCTATGCTTACGAGGATTATTAACTTATCACTTGCTATTAGTGAGATGCCAAGGGAACTAAAATGCGCAATGCTGCGACCTTTGCTAAAGAAAGCCAATGCTGACCCTGAGGAGGTTTTTTTTCTAACTTTCGTCCAGTTTACAATCC